CAAGAGAGGGAAAGGAGAAGAGCTAGGAAACATGAATAAGCCAAGCCATACATTTATATGCAGAAGATGGGCAAGGCAATGATCCTGAGAATCTTCAGATTTTTTAATCTAGCAGTTAATTGGAAAGATTCTCGCTCTGACAAACTATATATCCTGATACCTGTGAACTAAGCTACTGCACTACAGATGCTAATTTGTAATAGTAGTTTCATGCTTGGAGTGCCTGTTATTCTGGTCTTCTGAATATGGGCTGCTTGTCATGACATTCCAGTTGCTGCTATGACATCTCTCAGGTAGATGGTTGTTCAAAAAGAATGGTGTGGTGAATTAAAGCAAGAGACAGGAAAAGGAATATTGTGGGACTGTCCTGCTTCCAGGTTGTATATGGTGAGTTTTTTGGACTTATGTGCAAACATAAGAAGTATATAATTCTTTATGCCTATTTTAAAAATATATTCTAATTTTTAATGTTTTTATCATATTCTGTAGGGACTTAAAGTTCAACATATCGATACTTGATGAAAAATATCTGCTCCATATTATGCCTAGGATGTTTGATATGCAGACAGATAGTGAGGGTAAGCTTAACAGCCTTAGTTGTATGGTAATAACAATAAGCTTGTCTTCTGGATGGCTAACAACCTAGTTTTCAGACCAAAATTGGAGAAAAAGGAGGGCTGCAAAGAAAGCCAACATTTTGGCCCTAACCTTCTAAGGTTAATTAAGACTCAGGACATATGAGAACTTGTACTGTAATGTCATGTAACTCAGTAGTGTCCCAAATTTTCTGATCAAGATTATGGGGCCAAAGAGGAAAATGATTGATGATGTAGAGTGTGCCTAAGGAGAGTCACATGGAGAGAAAACATTCTCTCAGGCTTTCACAGAGAACACATTAGCCAAGCAATGGCCGTGACTCATCCATATGGCTGACACTGACAAAGGTTCTACAATCTGAGGTACGGGATCTCAGGATAAATCCTGAGGGGATTTCACTGACCTTGTCAGACCCAAAAGCTACAACTCTTGTTGCACAGGTCCTGCTTTAACTTGGTCTTGACCATCCAGCAGAAAAGTATAAAGACGAGGTATAGGAAGTAAAGCCATGGTGTTATGTTGAGCTGTAGGGGACTCAGGTCAACAATTTCTGATATTGCCAGTCAAGTGGAAGACCCAATGCTATTATGGGCTACTAGACTCTTTTAGAATATTTTGCTGAGTTTACACACCTATAATGTTCAAATAACGGAACTTAACAAAAAAAGGTATACAGATGAATATCCATTTTGTATCTGTGTATTCAGGGTGGTTAGGATAGATATATAGTTGCATTCTCTTAGTGAATAGAGTGATTTGTTCTAATGGTGTTTGTAAATAGGCTATCATGTCCTCATATTGTACAGCAATTAACCAGTAGGAAGAATGTGTGCAATGTGTTAATTATTGAAACTGTCCAACCAATTTGATTTGAAACTGTCTCATTGCTATTTGTTTATCAATAAAATTATGGGAAAAAATAAAGTTCCTTTTTAGATTAAAAATAAATAAATAAATAAAATAGAGAGACTTCCAGTGCTTGGTCTCCTATAGTGTTCATATAGAGTATACGGACATGTCTTTGCTAAAGAAAAGTGAATATGCCCTAGCTAAGGAACATAGTTGGTAGCATTCACACTCAATAATACTTTGACACACTTTCTCCCCCAAAGCCAGGTATTTTTCGAGCCAGCAGTAGATAGAACCAAACTGGGTTGGAGGCCACTTGGCTGGCTCTTCTGTTTGCACGAGCCATCCACCATAGATGGGTATCTTTACAGAGCCACATAAAATCCTGAACTGACATGTCTAATACATCAGACATGCTGGATCTGTGCAGTGGAATTCAAGCCTTCACAGGAATGAAAAGAGATGCATAACAGAACGGAGTTCCTATTGACAGCCTACTGCATCCATGTTGTGTTTTCTCCTACCCAAAATGTTGAGTTGAGAAAGTGGCAAGAATCAAAAATGATTAAGTGCATATTTCATATCTACAGTTAAAGCAAAGTATTCCTAGTAAGGCAGGGGACACACTGCTGCAATCCCAGCATTCTGGGAGGCTGAGGCAGGAAGACGGTGAGTTTAAGGCCAGTCTGGGCAACCTAGCAGTTTAGCAGGGCTCTGTCTCAAATTCAAAAGTTTTAAAGTGTTGGAAATGTAGAACCATGTGAAGGCCCTGAGTTTAATGTCCAGTACCCCGCCACACACAAAAAATAAACTGCTTTTTTTTTTTTTTTTTTTT